AACCACTTAACTTGGGAAGTAACTTTGTCTTATGTGTTTCAGTTTTTTTAAACTTTCTTTACAAGCAAAAGCAAGTATTACAAATATTTATCGGAACGGGTCGAGAAAAACCAGTTGAAGTTTTCAATTATAATCGAATGTTTCTTTCACCCTTTGTCTTGCCACCAACGATTTCAGAAGGTTCAAGCGGAAAAAAGAGCATGAAACTCAACATTTTCATTCACTATTCGTAAGACTGCTTCAATGGCTCTTCATGTACACACAAAGCGACAGCGGTTCTAAGCGTCGATTAGAGCAAAAACTGGTATAAAACCACCAGTTAGAATCAGCATCAAAATCAATTTTCCAACCATAGCTGCTTGCTTTGAAAAAGTTTAGGTTTCACTAATTAGCGACAGTTCCGAAAGATTCTAACAGATTCTCTAACTACAAACAACTCAGTCACCAGAAGTCGCAACGAAATGTTTCAAACTATATAACTTAATTTAAAAAACTTTAGCCAAGTTTTGAGGTTGTTGATTTAATTTTCAAATTCGCGACAAAGATTTCACTGAGCCTAAATTTTGAGGTTTTTGATTTAAATTGCAAATTCGCGACAAAGATTTCATTTAGCCAAATTGTTTTGATACACTTTCTAAATAGTTTCATATAAATGATGAGTGAGAAAGACTGGCAACAACCCACATTACTCAAATGTGTTAAATACTCCACTGGATCAGAGGGTGATGTGGTTTCATGCGCTTTCTGTCCTGCTGTGATAAATGGAGTCTGTCTTGGTCTGGATACCGTAAACTGACTTGGACTTGTGAAAACTGTGAAAGAAAACCGAAGCTAAGTGGCCTCTTTTCTTTACTGAAATCGTTGGAGAATAAACTTAATGCTACAACTTATTTTGGTCAACGATTGGATAAATTGAAAAATGAAACAAGATATTTGAATAATTGCAGCCCAAGAGCTTTATGACTAGTGTAATACCGGCCAGACGTAACTCTGGATAGGTTTCAAACGAACCTACCAAAATACAGCGAGACTCTGTTTTTGAAGAACATTTGACTCAACTCTGCACAGAGAAAGAACTGATAGCAGTGTGAGCAAACGAAAACTTAGTGCCACCGAGTCAAATTCTAGGAGAAAACTCATAGTACAGGTGCCAATAAAAATGGCGCCTTTCAAGGTGTTGCCCCAAAACGCCATATCTATTTGGACCGACTAACGAAGGAATATGGTGTTGAGGAAATAAAAAAGCACTGTGCCAATAATGGTGCAGATGTGATACATATGCGGGAAACGACAAAAAAAGACTAAACGCTGAGAAGTTTTCCTGTTATCTTTGCTGATGAGAAATCGGAAGTAAATGACTCTCCGGATTTTTGGCCGCAAAACAGCGTTGTTAACAGATTTTTCCTGAATGAAGAAACAATGATTTGGCTGAAAATGTTCAAAAAACTCTCTGACCGACAAACAAAGATATATATTGGATTTTTCAATGTGCGTTCCATTAGATGGAAAATAACGCCACTTTGACATATCACTCTTTCTAATTTTTTGCGCTTATTTGGAATTATATAAACCTGGATTATATCAAGTGAAGGCTATCTCCTTTGACAAATTTATCCAAATGGCTGTACATTTTTTAACTGTCCTCGTGAAAGTAGACTTGGCGGCGGACTAGCTTTAAGTGCGCACCAGTCTTTGCGTGTATCTTTAATTCGTCATATTCGCTCCGACTTTTTAGAAACAGCTTTATTCATTTTTCACAACTTAGGGTTAAATTGACTTTTAATGGCAGTATATCGGCCTCCTACAAATTTCAATTGTTTCATTGCCGAATTGAGCAACTTATTTACTCAATTTCTACCGAATTGCAATTTTTTATCTGTTTGGGTTTTAACGTGCACTACAATAACAGGGCTAATAAGTTTTTTCTACTCGAAGACTTATTAAAAGAATTTAGGTTAAACCGGTCTGTTCAAGAACCAACGCAAACCAAGGGCAACATACTTGATTTAATTTTATCATTTGAAAATAACAAGCCTCAAAAAGTTTAAGTTTCTGCTTTTGATAAATCTTATCATGACTTCGTAAAAATTACGGCATATAGTACTTTCCTTCAAACCAAGAAAAAATTACTTACACATCGCAGTTGGAAAAATGTTAATTTAACTGAGTTTCGTTTAATGCTTGAATCGTCTTTGGACTTAAATATTGGTCTTAGTGTTCCTGAGATAACTTCAAATTGTTTACTGTTTTTAGCCAAACTGTCGAATCAATAACGGATTACATTGCGCCCCTTAAAAAGCGCAGTAAACTTATTCGCAAATGTGAGTTTTTTAATACGGCGCTGATGGAAATGAAACGGAAACGTCGTAAATTGGAAAGAATGTATTGAAAACATAAAGTCAGTTTTCAGAATACAAAGAGTATGATCGGAAACTGCTTTGTGGAAAAAAGAGAACACTTTTAGAAAAAAATCGATGTTACTGAAACAGACTCCGAGAAATATAAAGCTCTTGACAAACTAATTGGAAACAAAACTGGAGCAGTACTACCTTTCCATAATTCAAACGTTACTCTGTCTAATGATTTTAATGCTTATTTTACTAGCAAAGTATTGGTGTTATGTATGAAACCCTAACTATGAAAAATTTTGATGAATCATTTACGACTTCAACTCAAACTTTAATGGGAAGTTTCAGTCCAATCAAACTTGAAGATTTACATCAGACTGTTTTATCAAAATCACATGCGATAGCTCCTCAATTTAATCAGAACTGTTATCTTCAAAGAATTGTGTAGTTTTTGGGGGCCACAATTTTTTTTATTATTTCTAATACGTGTATTGACACAGGAGTTTTTCCTGATGATTTAAAAGAAGCAGGTATAAATCCGGCACTTAAAAACAAAAATCTAGATCCTGAACTTCTTGCATCGTACCGACCACTGTCTAACCTTGTATTTCTTTCTAAGTTATTTGAAAAACTTACACACGCGCAACCAGAAGAACATTTAACTAATTTAGATCTCATGTATAATATAATCTCCGTATAAAATAGGTGCTTCAACAGAAACAGCATTATTAAAAGCGTCAACTGATATTCGTAAAATTTTGGACTCGAATCATTACCTGACATTGATCGACCTAGACTTATCAAGCGCCGTTGATACACTTCGGTATGATTATTTACTCAGAATCATGAAGAAATACATTTGACTTTCTGATAAAACACTGATTTGGTTTAGATCGTATCTCAGTAATCGGGGACCAGAAGGTTTACATTGAATAACTTTTTTCTGATGGACTTTTTGTCGAGCATGGTATTCCTCAAGCGCCATAAAATTCGTAAAATGTTCCTCAAGCGCCGTATTATTCGTAAAATTTTGGACTCGAATCATTACCTGACATTGATCGACCTAGACTTATCAAGCGCCGTTGATACACTTCGGTATGATTATTTACTCAGAATCATGAAGAAATACATTTGACTTTCTGATAAAACACTGATTTGGTTTAGATCGTATCTCAGTAATCGGGGACCAGAAGGTTTACATTGAATAACTTTTTTCTGATGGACTTTTTGTCGAGCATGGTATTCCTCAAGCGCCATAAAATTCGTAAAATATTCCTCAAGCGCCGTATTATTCGTAAAATTTTGGACTCGAATCATTACCTGACATTGATCGACCTAGACTTATCAAGCGCCGTTGATAGACTTCGGTATGATTATTTACTCAGAATCATGAAGAAATACATTTGACTTTCTGATAAAACACTGAGTTGGTTTAGATCGTATCTCAGTAATCGGGGACCAGAAGGTTTACATTGAATAACTTTTTTCTGGTGGACTTTTTCTCGAGCATGGTATTCCTCAAGGTTCGATCTTAAGACCCCTCTTATTTTGCGTTTAATTTTTTCCTCTTCGAAATATTTTTTTAAATCTCGATGTTTCCTATCAATCGTACGCGGATGATACCTTATTCTATGTTGCTACAAATTTCAAAGAAGATGATTATGCCATGGTCAAGGAAAAAGTTCATTCGGTTATAAGTAATGCGCTGAGTTGTTACAAAAGACTTGGCTTGGCGGTGAACCCTGATAAAACTGAATTTATTTTTCTGGCAAAACCTACTTGAAAATGAAGTTGGGAACTTTCGTTGTTGGTTCATATGAAGTCAATGTTTTACACGAATTAAAAACTTTAGGGGTAATAATTGATATGATTTTGAATGCTGTTCCAAGCGTCGATTAGAGCCAAAACTGGTATAAAACCACGGGTTAGAATCATCAAAATCACTTTTCCAACGTTTGCTGCTTGCTTCGAAAAAGTTTAGGTTTTACTTAGTAGCAACTGGTCAGCGAGATTCTAACAGATTCTGGAACTACAAGAAACTCAGTCACCAGACGTCGCAACAAAATGTTTCAAACTGTATAATTTAATTGAAAAAATGTCGGCCAAGTTTTGAGGTTGTTGATTTAAATTTCAAATTCGGGACAAGGATTTCATTGAAACAAAAAATTCCAAAACTTTAATAAAAGGGAAACGAGAAAATCAAATTACTATACTTATTGCTTTTCGAGGCTACTTTTGATGGGAAAATCATGTACAGATGCTGTAATCAGATTTGATGAGTTAAATCGATACCAACACTTCAACATAAACAAGTAACACATTATTTTTTTTTTATTTCGCGACCTTAGCAGTATTGAAAAATACAATTTTTTTTCTTGTATCATAAGGCTTACCGCGTAGCCATCTATCATCTTCACAGAACAAACTGTTTTCAGCAAATCATTAAATTTCGAAGTAAATCATCAAGCTCTTGAATTTTTGAATAAAACTACGTTCAATTAAGCATTGAGTTTAAACGAACTTATGGCTAGGAAGCTGAAAATAAAACGAAACAATTTTTGCCTTGCAAATCTAAAATTCATGAACCTTTAAAAATTGTTGGAAACTTAGAAAACAAGCAGAACAATTTGAAATTAAATTCAAAAACTTTATTTACAATCTAGCCAAATTATATTCAATTTTCTAGACATTGAAAGAGCTTCATAGAAATGAAAATAGCTTCATATAAATTGCTTATAAATATAAATTTCAAATGAACTATCAAATAGTTTCACTTTATTTTTAAAAACAATTGCCGCCACCTCACTCGTACCTTTCAAAAATATATGCCTAGAAAACAATTCATCAAAAAGGGTGATTTGCGTTAAGGCTCATTAAATGTTGTCAACGCGGAACTGAAACTTACTTAAAAACAAACGAAAGCACCAAACAGACCATAACCAAAAATATATTTCAAAGTTCAGCAGAGTTTCGAGGATCAAAATAAACTATCGTTTATCGCTGACTTTAAATTCCAAAAATTCTCTTCATAACACGTCGACCAGTAGAAGAGAGGGTAGCACTAAGTCTACCTTGTTGACCCACAGATTAGCACAGGGTGCGTGATATATTCGACCTCCGAATGATATGCAGTGAAGGGAAGGGTTGTTGTCGTTGAAAGGTCGTGACCTCTCGTCACTGTGTTTGAGGTGGTTTGTGTTGTGACTACTCGGCTGTTGTTGTGGTTTGGATGGATCGTCTATTTGCAGTAGGCAGACTCCACAAGCCTCCGCTCCAAATTGGGCCACTGGTGGTAGTTCGCATTCTGATGTACTCGCTACGAACATGCTGGATTTAGATACCTGTGAACAACAACTATTTTACAAACAAAATAATAAAACGCCATGTAGTTTCAATTATCACGGCACTATTTTTGGCCGGTTTCTTTTAGCATTTTGCTAAATACTATATTCAAAAAGTAAAAGTTATTTTAGTTACGTTTTTTTACAATGCAGCAATTTTTTTGCTGATTAAAATTCACTGCAAATATTACTAGGCATGTATTTTTCACTTTCTTTAACTAATTAACAGATTTTTTTTTAGCAGTTGGCATATTTTTCATTTGACTAGTACCATTTTAACTTTCATTCACACCTTAATTTAGCCCGGCTTAATAATCAATTTCTAAGAATTATTTAAAAAATTCTTATCTTTTTTGTGACTTTTACTGACCTCCTCGGGAATATATTGCTGTATTTGAACCCATCTTTCTTCAATTGCCCTTATCAATTCCTTCAGGCTCTCATCGTATAGTTTGAAAGACTCAAATGATCTCTTCACTTTTAATGACACGCCGTACACCAAACAAGCCCCAGTGCAAAACGCCATCCATTCGTTGCTATTGAGTACTTCATCTTTCAAACTTGAGCTTCCTCTTGATGTTTCTTCGATTGTTTCAAATGCCGTTTTCAAAACTGTTTCACACTGCGTAAGTAATTGTTCCCACACTTTTTTCTGTCGTGTACCATCGCTGAATTCCTTAAAAGGATCAAATTTAGTCAAACAAACAAATTTATGATAGAGAAAATAGAGAATGGCCTCTGCTTTTTTATAATAGTGTCGAGGAATTTATTCAATCTTTTTTCACGTCTTTAAAATTCCAAAATATAGCCAGGTGACAGTTGGAAAAGTGTAATGAACGCAACAAAAAAAACTAACTTTTTGTTTGAAAAAAACTTCAACTTTCGAATTTTAAAGAAAAACATATACCCTTGAAGCTCTTTGAATTAAAAGATAAAATTTGTGATTGGTATTTTTTGATAAAATTAACCCAATTGGTAAAAACTGGATCATTACGTAAATTTTAAATTCCGCTGGGAACCCTGAACATTAAAATTGCTGTTTGCAAAGTGGCTTCATTGTTGCAAGTTTTTACCTAAAATCATATCATGCCAAATTCAAATTATGGATATCAAACACTAACAATGATCACCAAATAATTATTACAATGGATGATTTCACAATAACTAAATCTAAAATCTGTGAATATGGAACTAAATGAATTTGAATTTGAAGTTTCTCACAATTATTTCTCATACATGAAACAATCTTTCATATTACCTTTGGTAGTTCGAAATTTTCCACCTACAAACAAGTATTCAAGTGTTGTTTTGGCTATGAATCAACTGAAATAGGTGTGCGATGAAGCTATGGCCTGTGACCTGCTACTTTTCTTCATGCAAATTCAAGGTCAGATACGATCGAGTGACAATCAGAAAAAAAATCTTCAGCAGGATAATGCTAATATTTTTTACTATAAACCATCCTCTCCCAATTTGTTTTGTAGGACTTTCAAAGATGTTTAGCATATTTAATCTAATAGAAGCTAATTTTATTTCATTACAAACCAAGAAAATGCACACAATCCGAAACACATTATTTCAGCAGTTCCAATTTTGCGTTGTGAATTCAGGGCTCAGTAAAAATTGCACCAAATAACCTACACACCTACTCTATTTCACAAACAAGTACAAACTAGTAACAAGTAAGCTCTTGTTATATATAGGAAAGCTTACTTTTCTGGTATTAGTCACAAATTCTCAATTTAAAAGAATCCAAATTGTAATGGTTTAAATTTTCTCTCAGCAAAAACTCACTGCAGTAAAAATTATGATTTTTTAAAAACTAAACAATGTCATGTCATATTATTAAATAAAAGTAACTTCAGTTAGTTCCCGACCGTCCGAGTTTTGATTTAACCCGTTCATGGTTCCTACTTCGACTAATGACCTATCATTTCATCCATACTTATCCCAGTATCTCCTGCTCCATTCGGCAGCTGGCAACTAGGGTTGTACAATTTACTCATCACAGATGCCACCCTGTCCTGAACTTGTTTCATCTTGCACTCATAAACAATTTTCTCGGCTGATTGATTCATCTCTAGCCAAGTCTCAGTTTCCTTCACAAGATCTGAAAACATCGTCTTTTCCTTCGGATCCAACTTATCTGCCACCGATTTGTCTTCCATCGATGATTTGCCCGTCAAGATATAGCTTTCAAGCGTGTTCCTTGCCGCAATTCTTGCACGACATGCATCATCTTCCGCTTTGAAATTCATCGCGTCTGCAACCATCTTGTCAATTTCCTGTTGACTCAAACGATTCTGGTCGTTTGTAACTTTCATTGACTTAACTATACCACTGCTAGTGTCCTTGGCAGTTACTGTCAGCATACAGTTTACGTCGACATCGAAAATTACCTCGATCTTCGAGACACCCCGAGGAGCCAATTGGATTCCTTCCAGCGTGAACGAGCCCAAAAGGTTGTTGTCCTTCGTCATCGGCCGTTCTCCTTCGAAAACTCGAATAGTTACACCCGGTTGGTTGTCCGCATATGTTGAAAATGTTCTTTGCGCTCTTGTTGAAATTTTCGTGTTTCTCTCCACCAGCTTTGACATGACTCCTCCTGCACTTTCGATCCCAAGTGAGAGCGGGACAACATCTACTAGAAAAAGGTCATTTATGTTGTCGTCTTTCACATTAGTCAACATCGCTGCTTGGACTGCCGCGCCATAGGCCACCGCTTCGTCGGGATTAACTGAACAATTTAACTGCTTCCCGTTAAAATATTCTTTCAGGAGAGCCCTGATCTTTGGAATCCTTGTAGATCCTCCCACAAGCACAACTTCATGTATGTCACCTTTACTCAGCTGTGCATCTTCTAGCGCCCTGGTTACAGGCTCCAGTGTACTTCGAAACAGATCAAAACATGAGGCCTCAAACCGAGCGCGTGAGATCTTACTGCAAAAATCGATTCCTTGATACAACGAGGCTATCTCAATTGTCGCCTGGGAACTCGATGACAAGGTTCTCTTTGCATTTTCAGCCGCAGATCTCAGTCGTCTCAGAGCTCTGTTGTCCTGTGAGAGATCTTGCTTGTGTTTCTTCTTGAACTCCTCAATCAGGAGTTTCATCAACCGATTATCAAAATCGCCACCTCCCAAATGAGTGTCACCTGCCGTTGATTTCACTTCAAAGGTCCCCTTTTCAATTAGGAGAACTGAGACGTCAAACGTTCCTCCGCCTAGATCGAAAATCAGCACGTGTTTCCCTCCGACAGAAGGCTGCTGCTTATCCAGACCATATGCTAATGCTGCTGCTGTTGGCTCATTAATGATTCTAAGCACATTCAGCCCCGCAATTGTTGCCGCGTCTTGCGTGGCCGATCTTTGCGCATCGTTGAAGTATGCTGGAACTGTGATCACTACATTCTTCACAACTGCTCCTAGATACTCTTCTGCGATTCCTTTCATCTTTATCAGCACCATTGAACTGATTTCTTCCGCGTGGAACTTTCTCGGCTTCCCTTTGTATTGGACTTCAATCTTCGGTTTGCCTCTGACGTTTTTCACTTTCAGCGGCTTTTTTCGACTTACCCCACATTTCAAATTCTTTTTCCTAGTTGTTTTATGGGTTATTTAATGCGTGACGTTACGCTGAAAAGTAAGTAGTTAGTTCGTTCACGATTCGAAATTTCATTGCACTTTGAAATCGTTAAAATAATTTTTCAAAACATATTTTCAAATCTGAGGGGAAAGTAGAAAAGAGCCCTTTGAATGGCCACATTTTGATGTCCCTTTGAACAATTTCTTCGGAAAATTTTCGCCCAATGAGTCTTTTCGCATCAAAAACTGTGTTACTCGGATTCATTTCGGCCTGATTCTTGGCCGCATCTCCAATCAGTCGTTCTGAGCCATTGAACGCAACGTAGGAAGGTGTGATTCGATGGCCCATGTCATTGGCGATAATTTCCACCTTTCCATTTTGAAATACAGCCGCACATGAGTAGGTGGTTCCAAGATCGATTCCAATCGCTGGCGCTATTTGAGACATTTTCTGGTATTTACGGCGTGAATGGTCCATTGCTGATTTAAAGTCTTTAAGCAAAATTTAAACAATGAAAGTGTTTATAAATACCTAAGTCTGAATGAATAAATATACTTCGTTTATGACTTCATTTAACCAACAACTGAATCATAAAATAAGGAAAAGATGCCGCCAATTTTCACATGACTTCTTATACACTTTACATATGTCAGCTCAAATTGAGAAATAATTTAGGAATCTGAAAAATTAGCCCTTTGTCCGGTTGGTTGAGGAGGGGGGTAAAAGGAATAGAGCAAAAAAAATAAAACACCAACGAAAAAAAATCAGTCCGAACAGGAGTTGAAATTAGGTAGCGAACTTCATTTCAGCCACTGAGATAGCTGGCTCTTTTCGGCTCTTTTTCCTCCCCCCTTCTGCAAAATTCTATATTTAAAACTAGTGTTCACATTGTCCGATTATCATGAAAACTGACATGCAGACTAAAAAGGCCATAAACATGACAAACATATTTGGTCTTCATAATTAACCTTTTAAAACCACTCGTTAGACCATAAAATGCATATTTGTGTGAGGTGGGGGGAAAGGAAAAAGAGCCCTCTTTTCTATTGTAGGCTCCCACTAGCCATGTGAACAAGTATGGCTCGTCTTAATATCCTCCTCTCATTTGAACTTCAGTTTGAAACACTATTACAAGATTGGACTCTTTTTCCTCCCCCATACCTCACACGAGCATAAATTTTATGATGTAAGGAGCCCTTATGAACACCAAATATGGGCTCTTTTTCATTTTCCTTCCACTTCGCATGATCATCAATGCTATGGTGTAACTAGTGGTGTTACAAAGTTGAGTATGAAAACCAAAAATGTTTATCATCGCTTAAATCGTCAGCATGTCAGTTTTCATAATCGGATAATTGTGAAAAATTTTGTAGAAATTCGCAGGTGGGGAGGGGGGAAGAGCCTTCTTGTCATACTAATGAAATTTCGGGTCTTTTCCATTATAGCTACCCAGCCATGAAAGAAAAAACAGGCCTGCGCTTGGTAAACACTAGTAAGAACACGACAAAAAGCAGCTCTACAAAGAGCAAACATAGTCAATAGAAATTAGGAAAAAAAGTAATGAACGCAAGTAAACAAAAAACACTGGCTTTGTTGAAAAATCTTAACATTCGAATTTCAAAGAAAAAAATAGATACTCTAGAGAATAAGAGTCTCACACACTAACCACTCAGCCACGGAAGCTTAATAGCCACAAATAAAGCAGAGAACAGACAATTTGCAATTTCCACTGCTACAGTGAACTTTCCGAAAAAGTGAACACTTCTATTTGCGAGTTAGATTCGAAAAAAAGGTTCGTACTGATACACTAACACTCGCAAGCTCGCTAGTATGAAGAGCTTTCAAAAGGCTTAGAAAAACCGAATCTTTATGCGGGACCTAATCCGACAAAAATTAGCAGACACGAAAGTCTAAAATATTCGAAAATTGTTAGTTTCCACAAAAAAACAAGTCCCGAGTGGAATTTAACTTCTGTGAGTTGTCTTCTCAAGCATGAGTGTTAGGACCGCACCAAATTCACAGAACACACTTCGAAAAAAAAATGACAATACCTCTTGTGAGTTGTCTTCTCAAGCATGAGTGTTACCACCGCACCAAATTCACAGAACAAATTTCGAAAAAAAATTGAAAATACCTCTTGCAACTCAATTAGTTGCCCAAAACCAGAATACGCTGGAAAGTTTTTATTACGAGTAAAAATGCCAAAGTTTTAGATAAATTTGGTGCTGCCGCATTAAGTCGACAAAAAAAAGCAAACAAACAAAAGACCGGCAAGATTTTTTGACGGGCGGGAAAATTTCCGCTTACAAAAAAAGGTCCTGGCCGGATTCGAACCATTGACTTTTGTCTTTATAGGCAGGTTCGTCAGCTTTGCCACATGCGCGAATTAACTTCCCAGTTTCATTTCAAATGGAACAAAGGTAAAAGGATTCAAGTTATTCTGTTAAGCTAGTTGGCTACCCCGAAAGTTCTATATTCCGGTTTGATAACGCTTGCTAATCGCAAGCGTAATAAACATGAAAAAAAAACCAGCGCGGAAAAGAATTATAGTGTATTCATGTGATTAGAGTTCATGTGATTTGTGTGCACGTTGAGAATGCAAAAAAAAATCAGTGTCATTTAAACCTCCAATTTCCCATCTTATCTGACAAAACCTTTTTCAAAAAAAAACGCAGGAAATTAAAATAAGGGTTGAAAATTGACGAGATGAGCGGAAACATTTTGCGCATTTCTTCGCAAATATCATCTGAAGTTTAAAGTATGTACTCACGAAATCTTCGTTGAGGCTGATGTATCTTTCTGTTGCTAATGTCCCACCCTGTTGCTTGTCATTCTTGACGGCAGCATCTGAGTTCTTTTTACTTCCAAGTGGACCATTTTGAGAACTATCTGAGCTGAAGTTAGTTTTCGATTCAACCTAACAAATAAAATATGATGACCAGTTGAAGTAAGAATCTATTTTAGAAAAACTAGCTCGCATGAAAACGCTGACGATCCTGTCATGTAAACAAATTTAATCAACAAGCTGGCATCTGATCATTCTGATCTGCTCCATAAGACTGAAATAAAAAATACCCATTTTTCTACATGAGCAGAAATGGGCAATATTCCTGATAGCAAATCCAAATTATTTGTGTAATGCGAACTTACTTTTTGAGTCATTTCCGCTGATTTCGGTCTAATTTTGGGCCTCTTCACGTCTTCGGCTAAAATCGTCTGCTTGATCCTGTCATATAGACCGTCCGCCGACACTTGCTGTTTCGCCCAAATCAATCCAGACACATCTGGACGGCCAGCCTCATTAGCCGAATCGGATCCAAATTCAGTCCATTCGTCATTTTCAGCCGCAAGTTTCTCTTCAAATTCAGCTGATTCGATTTTTTCTGAATGATCATTGGTTGTTTTCTCGACTGTCGATCCTCGCTTTTCATCGGAACGAGGAGTGAACGAATCAAAATCAGCCCAGTCGTCTTCAACCTTTTTTGGTTCATTCTCAGCATCAATACCATTTTCGCTCACAGCTGCTTCTGTTTCGTGAACTGCGGTGGATTCCTTCTGATCTATTTCAGTTTGGTATTCATCTGAATTCGTTTCTTTTTCTTGATTGAAATCTAATCGATTTGAATTATCTAAATTAGCAACGTTATCTGCCATAAAAATATCATCATTTTCTACTTTTTGAGAACCTTGTATTGCTTCCAGTCCTGGGCGATTTTCTGACATTGTGACCTCCTTTTCGAAGTTCAAAGAAACCTCTGGTGTATTTTTGCTCTCAACTGACGACTCAAAATTAGCCCAATCAGACGAATCAAGAGCTTGTGGTGCATTAAACGATTCAAATGGCTGAAATGCCGGCGAAATGTTGGTTTCATGCATCTGCAATGAAACGCTATGCGAAACTGTCTCTGATTTCAAACTTATTGCTTTATTGGTAGAATTCGGAAAAGATTTGAAATCTGCAAAATCATCGTTTATGTTTTCTTGTGACTTGTCTTCGATATCTAACATCCCATTTGTTGAGAGTATTTCTTTCTCAGCCACTTCCGGTGTGACATCTTTTGGTTCGTCAGTCGAAACTATCAAAGCCTTTTCACTAGTTTCTGCCACTAACATATCTCTAAACACTGCATATTTATCAGCAGTATCATTGGTACTGTTTTTACTTTCTGATTCTATTGGTTTGCCTTTATGTACTTCCGGTTGGTTATCATATGAGGGCTTCTTTATATTTTTTTCAGGGCCAGAACTATTCGTTTCAAGATTCAAACTCGGCGCTTCGGTGAAATCCTGGAAATCGTCGAAATCATCATCAACGCCTTCGCTTCTTTTCCTCTCTGGCTCGATTTGCTGGAACTTTTGAAACCACGAATCTTTATTTTCTTTACTTTCATAATCATTTGAATGGTTCGACCTAATTTGCTCCGCTTTAATGACATTAATTGGCAATGTAACCCAGGGCGAAACCAGTTTCGGGCTTGATAGTGATGGTATTTTGATTGATTGCGAGCTTAGCGTTGAACTTGAAGAAATTGTTCTATTTCGAGGACTGCTAGCGCCCATAATATTTTTCAAATCTATCACCGGTATAGCCGGTGAAGCTGGCTTAGCCATTCCAGATAAACTAACAATTGGTTTTATAGAAACTGTCGGAGAAGAATCATCTCCAGAGACAGGGCCACTGCTCAGGTTCGCGGTAATTGGTTCAGCCATTGCAGTTTCAAAATCGGCGAAATCTCCGAACTCGTCTCCCGTTGGATTCGGAAATGCATCAATTTGACCTTTTCCTTTTGAAGAAGCAGTGGTCAATGCGGCCGTAGCGTTTGAAACATTAATTTTTTGTTGACCATCATTGGCTTTTTGCTCTGCATGGTGCCCATAATTTTGAACAGATGACTTCGAAGAACCACCACCACCCCATTGCAACGTTTGTTTAACAGACATGTTGTTCAGCGTCGGTGCAGTACTGCGTGGTATTGATTGCTGCTGGGTTTGATGTTTGTGTATGCTGTTATGCACTGGGTAAGTATTAGTCTGTTGTTGTTGTTGACCGATAGATGTATGTTGTGTTTGTGGACCTGTTGTGAATGTGTGTTTCGGACTGTTGTTGTTTGATGCTAATTGTGCAGGACTTGAACAGGAACTTGACTGAAAAAAAAAACAGCCAATTGTTTTTTAAATTCTCGAATACAATTAGTCTTCCATTGTTATTTCTATTTCAAGCTCACTTTTCCTAAGAGCTCAGAATTGTTTTTTTTGCCTGAATCACGAATTCAGACTTAAAAACAAGCATAAACATTATATAGCATAATAATTCCACACTTCGGACAGAATTGGTCATTAGAAACAGCAAATCTTTGCAATATACCGGTAATTTTGTACTTAAATGATGAGAGTTGACTTCATACCCTGCACATGGAAATCGATTAGCTACAAACGAAAACACGGAATATCTGTACCCTTGGCCTTAAATGAATGTCAAAAGCCAGTTTATTGTTCAACCACCACCTCGAAGTGTGGGTAGAATTTGGTATCAAATGTGGTGTTCAAATGTGGTATCATTTTGAAGCCGTGATGCGAATTACAAAAAAAGTTCGAGAAAACTGTTCTACATCTTTTTGATTCTCAGAATTTTTTCAGAGGAAATTGAACTTCCAATCAAATTTTGTCTTTTATTGCCTTCTTCTTGCAGCCCAATGATTAATTGAAAAAATTTCAAGCCTTCTCACAAAAAAATTTGAAGAAACAAAAACGAATCTTTTGCCTTTCTTTTTTAGCTTCATTGAGATAATAACCGTGCTCGGAACACTAAATACTACTTGCACAGCAGCTTTCTATCTTCGTTGCAGTACGTGACAAGTTTCTTGAAAAAAAAACATGCAAAGCAAACAAAAAAAATAAAATTAACTACCTGATATGAGTCGGCGGCCGAGCAGTCTTCTGAGCCTGAGTACAGAATATCTTCTGCTATGTAGACCACTCCTCCATCCTCCTCCAATTCATCACCCTCTGCCCCAACAGTACCTCGTGGAACACCGCCACCATCATCATCACACGAAGACTCCATGCAAGAACCTTAACAATCAGAAGATCTTTCATCAATTCACATTTAAAGCTAGTGTTACGAGTCCTTGAATTATTTCGGTATTGTTTCATTAGTTTCCTTGAAAAAGCCGCCATACATTTTCACCTCAGGGGAAGTGGCTCAAAGGATACCGTTGTTTGGGGATCAGAGCGAAGGAAAGTGAACTATAATTATAATTATCAATACTTAATCATAGCCACGGACAGTTGGAAAAGTTTCAATGAAAAAACGATTGATATATTTTTTAGAGGTTTGGAGGTACAGGTTTGATAATTTTTCATTTTGCTGAACTAATGTTGAATGAAATAGGTCATTTCAAAATTTTAAAAACTGGCCTTCACCCAAAACCTTACACAGGGGAGCTTCGCTCAATTCTTTCGATTGAGCCCAAAATCTCAGTTTTTATTGGTAGTTCTCGAGACCAGCAAAAAAATGCAACATCATGGTTTTTTCTGAGAGTGCAAACTCTTTGATTTAAAAAAATAAGTGCAGCCGCTCATGCAGAGGAGCTTTCCACAAACCAAAAGCTCGGATTTGGGAGGTAGTTTTCGAAATAAAATTTTTAGAAAGGGCCTAAAATTGAAAATTGACTTTCCCGAGGGTTATAACTTTGCGTGTAAAAAATTGAGCGTATCAGCTTAAGCAGGGGAGCTTACCACAACCCGTTCAACCTATTGAATCCAAAACCTCAGATTTGGTAGGGTAGTTTTCGAGATAGTCAAAAGGTCGAAAAGTAATAAATTCGACTTTCCTTGTCACAACTTTTCTCGCTAAAAAATTTGGGCTTAGCCGTTAAAGCAGAGGAGCTTCCAGCAACCCGTACTTTCGATTGAAATCAAAACCTTGCGAGAGTAGTTGTCGAGAAAGTTTCAAAAAATGGTCAAACAACCGAAAATTTGACTTTTCCGAGGGTCATTATTTTTTGTGTAAAAAAATTTGGGCGTAACCTTTTTTGATTTTCTGAGGGTCATAATTTTTTGTATCAAAAAAACTAGGGCGTAACTGCGCATGCAGGAGAACTTTCAACAAACTTTTCCAAACAGTGAAACCAAAATCTCAGATTCAGGAGGATAGTTTTCGAAAAAAGTCAAAAAGTTTGAAAAACCGGTCAAAAAACCGAAATTTTGATTTTCTGAGGGTCATAACTTATTTGCATAAAAAAACTGGGCGTAACCGCTTGAGCAAGATTGAAAAACCAAACCGCAAAAAATAAGAAACGCTTCTTGAAAACAGAGCCAAAAGACAGTTGGTAAAGAGCGAGCAATGAACGCCAATAACATTCGAACTTCAACGAAAAAAAAAATAGATGCCCTTTAAGCTCTTTGAATTTCTAGAACAATTTATGATTGGCACTTTTTTGATAACAAAAACTCAACTTGAGAAAACTTGGTCAATAGTTAAAGTTTTGCTCCGCTGGAAATCTAAAAACTAAATTCCACTTCGCGACATTTCCAGCAGAAATTAGTGGTATTTGGAGAGTTTTATTCACGTAACTTTCAGCAGATGAGTTTCAATTGAACTCAAAAAGTGCGTATATACCTAAGTGCATTAATATGTATGAATGCACATCTGTAGTTATTAGAGCATTTTAAGACTTTTTCCTGAAAAATAACGAACAAAAAAAATAACAAAGACCTATATTATAGTCTACACTACTTTCGTTACTCTTAAAAAAATAATCAATACGACCTATAAAAGTGTCTTAACTACGTCCATGGACCTTCAAAAATTATCAATGAACCTGTCTACTCACAATTATGTGAATGCTCTGATCTTCCGTCCGTCGAACTGAAACCTTCGTCATTATTAGGTTCACTCGCGAAACCAGCCCAACCTCCGGAAGCTTCACTCTTTGATTCTACTCCACGACGAACCTGAACCGAATTTTGCTGCATTGAAATTGATGAACCTTCAAATGATTGAGTTTGCAAAGTATTCGGAGTTTTCTGCTTGATTACATTTTGGACGTGAGCTGTGAAGTTGTCTTTTAGTGTTGGAGGAATAGAGAGATTTGGATTTGGGAACGCGGGATCCAACTGCAGCTGATGTAGAAATGATATGTTGTTCAGGCCAGCTAGACTGATTTTATTGTTCTAAAAGATCACAAAAATAGTATCAAAACAAGTGATTGGCGCCATTTCGACAGGGCGAAGCCACGCGTCTCAGCCTTTTCAGTACAAAATGTATGCCAGTGCCCAGACGTAATGACATACAATACTTTCTAACCTCTTCAATTATTCAAGAGTGTGAAACACGCGTTGATTTAAGAAAATCATATTTGACAAAAACAAACCCCGCGGAGTAATCAGTGTCGAAAAACGGGGGGAAATGGGGAAATTTTTGCAATCAAAGATAGTCTTGAAACGATTCGATTATGGCAAGTGTAAAAATTAACATAAAGGCAAAGCGGAGCTCGGCACCTTTGGCAAAACGGCAGTTTGCCAAAAAAAACCTCAAAAAGACAGCCACGGAGTCCAAAAAGCTTTGAAACAAAAATTATACAGACGCGAAGCAGCGCTTCGCAAACACTAACCAGAAAACGCCAAAAATTAAACGTAAAAAGTGAACACCGAAAGTAGAAAAAAGCTTTGTCTTAGCAAAACATTTACTATGTGTCGGACTCCAAACTGTGACTTCGAGAATTGAAGTCTCATCTTTTCGCCACAGTCCCTTGAAGGATTGCAAACACTAGCAACCAATGATGCAGCTATAGATCCTAATTTATTGCCAATGCTTTACAGCAAAAAAGCTACCAAATATAAATTAAACTAAAGCTAAGCGCGGCGTTGAACCTCCGACAAGTAGACAAGGAGTCCCACGTCCTTCAATCTGTGCTACGGATACTTAACGATCTGCACACACTAGTCACAAATAAAGCAGAAAAGAGACAGACTGTGAAAATCAAACAATTAGCACCAAATTAGCAATTATATTTGCGAATTATTTTGGGGAAAAAAAAGCAGAGCCATACTAATACAGAGCGCTCGCTAATTTTACAATCTAATTCTTTTGCTTTTTAATGCAATTATTTCCAAGCTTATTGTTAACTGATTCATCTAACACATCAACCAATTCAGTCCTCTCTCGATAATTTAAAAAAACTAACACAGCCAAAGAACAGTTGATAAAGAGAAGCAGAACAAACGGCACTTTTTAACCTTTCGAAGTTCAAAGACATAATTTATCACGTTTAAGCTCTAAAAATTTTAAGTTAATTAGAGCTTAAATCTATTATTCAGAACCACTTTCGAACCTAGAAGTCATTCACGTCTTTTCACGCACTTTCCGCTTTCTTAAATGAACTTTACTGAACTTGAAAAAAAAAATAATAAATTGTTTGCAAATTAGATTCCATTCATTGTAAAAGTTACTACATTTACAAACTAACGAAATCACATTGCGAAATCAAACCTCAAAAAATCAAAATTGAGCGTAAAAAGCTTTTGACTGTTTGTTTTTTTTCCAGGCTTTTCCTTTAAAAAATATCACCAATACCTAAATAAGAGTACTGACTGAGTTCATTTCTCTTAAAAAATCAAAATTCAAATCGCAGACGATCGAATTTGGTGTGATCAAGACTTTTCCTGAACCAATCAAGACCTATTTAAATGACTTCACTAATTTCAATGACACTTTAAAAAAACAAAAAAATCATCTCAACTGCAATATCGGTTATAAAGCTGATTCCGGGAAAAATATAGAGCCCCATTTTGTGACTGAGAGGACAAAGACAAATTAAAAACGGCAAAAAAAAATCGATCAAAAATCTTTTATCAAAAAATTTCTTGAACCTAAATGACCTGCACCATTGCAGGAATACGTCAGTTTTATCAATTTTAATTCCGTTTACAGGTTTCAAAACTGCTGAAATAACTCAAAAAAAACACAATTCTTAGAAAAATCCAGTGCTTAAGTCGACAAAAAAGAGGAGACAAACGATAGGACAACCATTCTTTTTCAAAGCGGAAAGTTGCCAGGCATAGGCGCTACCTCTGTGCCAAATTTGAAAAAAATCGAGCGGAAAAAACGTTAGCCCGAAAAAATTCCTTGTTCCGATTTCATAACGCTTGTTGAACTCAACCGTAAGAAATCTCAAATATTTCATTTCTGTAAATTTGAAGTAAGATAGCATCAAAAGGTCTTTGGAAAATACCACCAAAGGATTTCGCGACGACTCGTATCTGACATTCGAGAAAACCATAAATCAACCAGTTGATACATAAATTTTGTTTCAGCTATCCTTAAAAACGATTGGTATACTTGGACTAAATACGGGGTTTCGCAAACGCGCTTAATGCAAAACTACACCAGAATTCTGACTCAATGTCCTTGAAACATCTAGAATCAAGTAGGTTCATACTTGTATTTTTTTGAAAAATTATTCATGCACCCCATTTTTAAGTTCAAATTAAATTAACTGATTTGGTCTTAAGACTAATTACCAACTTAACAATAAGTTAATGAAAAAAGTCCTCTAGATTTCTCAAAAATAATTAATAGCTGTTCAGGCATCTTTCTGCTCTGCGAGTATTATTCGACTAATTCTACGACTAGCGGCTTTTTAAGGTCTGGTGTTTAACCAACCTGCACAAGTGCTACTAGTGCTAGCAGCATCACACTCTCTTGTAGATTGAGTACTCCCACTGTCTCCTTGTTGACCAGAGACCACAAATGACCCAGTGCTGGCTTCGACAATTGTGACGTCATCAACACAGTGTACAGTTTGGGAGTGTCAAGGTGCTGACCTAAAAAAGTTAAATTGAGATGTATTTCAACTGGCTCTACTCCATTTTTTTGTACCTGCGTTACAGGTACAAAAAACTGTACAATTTCGCACGGATCTTTAGAGAAGGAATATTTAAAAATTCTCGTTGTCACATAACTTGTTTAATATTCATCCTTAGAGGGAACTCACTAATTCACAATCTCTCAGTCACAGTACTGACTTACCATCAGGCACAGCTGCGTATCTCAGTACATCTCTGTATATCGGAGGTAGTCTGTTCAACTGTCTTGTCCATGACGGGTATCCGACCGCCAACTGCTGTTGTTGCTGTACATTGATCACATTGCCAGACTGTTGTTGACCTGATAGCATTCCAGGTTGAGCGCTGTATACACTATTTGGTGCGAAGGATGATTTTTCAGGGTAACTCTGATATGTTTGATAAGGTAAGGGTTGATGCATGTTGTTGCCAAGACTAACATTACTGCTGGCACTGACACTAAAACCTCCATTTTGCGCAGAAACATGTTGACGTCCAAATTGCGCCTGGCTAGCCGAAAATGAATTAGCAGAAACGTTTTGAAACTGATTGCTTACAAATTGGCTGCCTATAGGAAACTGGACAAACTGATTAGCAGCTGTTTGCATATTTGAGTTCGGCTGTCTTACTTGATACTGGTTAAAACCACTAGACTGTTGCTGACTATACTGATATGGGTTGTGATGTTGCGAATTCTGAGGGGGGTTCTGACCTAAAGCGTGACCCACAGTTCCTGGAAAAGCGTTGGGTAAAATGTGGCTATTTTGAGCGGGAGGACGGGGTCGAAATTGTGGCGCCCAATTTTGATTCTGCTGCGATGGCGGCCCAAACATAACATGGAATCTTCAAAACAGAAAATACGTCGAGTAAATTTTATGAAAGAAGTCAACAATAAGAAGTGAACAGGAGCTTGAAAGTTGTATATACTTTTTTAGCTATTTTTCTTTTATATGTAAACAACGAAAATCAATTAGAAGTGTGGAAGTGTTGATTTGCGATGAAGACTGATGAAAACTGGAACTTCCACTTACTATTATTTCAAATATAGAAATCTACTCTTCGTAAGCAAAAGATAGCAGAGGAAACAGGACCGACCCAGTAAGAAAACCCAATTATTTTCCTGTCGGCTTCAATAAATAAATTCTCTAGCCACGACCAACTCATGTTAAAATAAGCCATATAAGGAGCTACCCTCAGATGTAAACTTAGACATATATTTCACTATATTATTTTTTACATGGTATACTCAGTGGGATTGTGGCAACAGTTAACGCAGCTTTTGAAAAATCGAAAATTCGGAGTTTTAAATTTTTAATTCATTTCAAATTATTAACGGTGTTTCTTTAGCTGCAAATTACTATCAGTTAAGTTTCGTCTCACTGCAACATTAGGATCTATTTAACTATTCCCCTCTACGAAACCTAGTCAAGATAAACTTCCCCTATAAACGGATATAACAACGGCTAGCCATCAGCGAATATTGTAACTTATAACGAGCTTCCTTCTATCTTTTCCAACAGGGAGGAATATTTAAAGAGATCACAAAATCAAAATTAAGTTTTTTCACATTGCATCAGCTAATCTCGCTTCCACGTCTTTCCAATTCACAATATTGAAAAGTGCATTTACATAATCAGGACGCACGTTTTTGTACTGTAGATAGTACGCGTGTTCCCACACATCAATTCCCAAAAGAGGAACTAAGCCTGTAGTTGCCAAAAGAGGATCTTGATTAGCACAAGTCGCCAGTTCCAGTCTTTTCTTGTCCTTATTGAAACCCAGCCATCCCCAGCCAGAACCTTGAATAGCCACTGTTTTTGCAGCAAATTCTTTAGTGAAAGCGTCAAATGAACCAAACTGCGCCTTGAGCATGTCTGACAAAGGTCCAGAAGGTTCGCCGCCTCCATTTGGAGACAGATTGTGCCAAAAAATTGAATGGTTTATATGTCCGCCTCCGTTGAACTTAAGACTTCCCTGTAAGCTGAAACAAAATTCATTCAAAAATACAGTCACAACTCATGTATTTCTAAGAGATTTGTATATCCAAATTAGGTTGCCAGAAACGAGATTCAAATAATGAAAAACTCTTCAAAAAAGATGAGGCAAAATTTTATCCTCAATCTTTGAGCACATAGTGCATCAATTGATTTTTAATCAAATAGCCACGGCTTTATCCACCAATTTTGCGAGCGATTGGAAAAAGAACGAGAAAAAAATATTTAAAAAATCAGTTATAAAAGTTCCTATACAACTGGACCAATAATTAAGCCTGGACCACCTTTTAAAAACTGGACCATGCTTTAAGATTTTTGGTTTTGATAAAAACACATCTCGCAAAACTTGCTCAAAATTGATTTTATAACAAAAACAACAAAGGAAACCATATGCGCGCGCATCAAACCGCTTTCTTTGTGAAGAGAGCTTTGATTTTGCTCAGCGGATTCCGCTGAACATAGGTGTATTAGAAAAGATGATCGGAACCTTATGATCTTAGATTGATCTCCTTTTGCCACCGCTTCTGACAGTTGCTCCTCTGCCACGTTATAATTGTTTACGTAAGTCTGATGGTGCTTGCTGTGGTGAAGTTTCATTATATCTGCGCTGATGTATGGCTCGAGTGAATTGTAATCGTAGGGCAAATCGGGTAGCGAACATTTTGCTCTAGTAGTTTGAATAGATACAATATAACTTGGCTTGCTCATGGAAGTATTAACTCCTCGCATTAAAGCAGGAGCTATTGTTTTCAAACTATTCATCAGCATTTTCCACTAAAACTTTTTAAAGATTTAGGTCTTGGTACTAGTTTACTTGTTTGGTCCCGTGACAAAACTAGTTTAGATGATTGGCCCCACCTATTTTCTAAAAACAAGAGCCAGCACTGGATTTACACCTGCACCTTGGGGTTGGTAACCGGATTCGTGACCACTAACTAGGCCCGTTTCGACAGCAATATAGAAATAAAATGCTGACTGTTAGAACTGCCACATGCTGTACCTCGGTTTTTATTAGGGACCACAGCATTTTTGAGGGACCAAAGTAAACTAGTACCTAAGTCTTCTCAAAATTTGTAACTTTTGAAATTTTCAAAGGTGATATCACAAACTATAAGAGCATTAATGAAACAAGTCAATATAGAATTCAATTTCGTACATACACATATAATGCTTTTTACAAAAAAAAATTGGGATAATAATAATGGAAAAACCTGCATTGTAATTAAATTCCATTCATATCAAGTTTATTTTTTAAATTCGATTGATTACGATGCTGACCCAAAAATAGCTATATCTGGAAAACTATGAACTACAAACATGATATTCTACATGCATAATATAACAGTCTTCAAATAATTACAAGTATTGCACAAAAATTGCAGCTTGAAAGAAATCGTCCTCGAATACGGATTTTTAGCGATATCTGGTGTCACCTTTTGGCTTATCGTTCTTGGCTGCTCTTTCATAATTGGCGTGAAGTTCTGGTTGAATGTTGATCACCTGTTGGATCAAGAACATAATTGTTCCCTCTCTGTTCTTCGTGATCTGATTGTCAACCCTTTTCAAAACTTCGCCAGTTTGTTGGTTAATCTGTTGTTGCAAAGCAACTTCTTGACCTTTCACACCTTGATTCCACTGGGCAATTTGAGATTCGCATCCCACCTTGTATTCGTCAATTTCTTTTGCCGCCTCTTCCTTAGCTGCTCGAAGACGACTCTGTCGTTCTTTCCTGGCATCTTCGATGATCTGCTTCGCTTTTCGCTCAGCGCCTAAGAGTTGATTGATACCGGGCGAAGACTGCATTGAGGAATTAGACGCAACGGACATTCTCAACTGAAACCAAAATTCAGTCAGTGTGCAAGTCAATTGGAGCAGACGATAACAAATTAAACAACCAATAAACGGTGAATGACAAGGAGACGGATCAGGAGACAAAGGAAATTTCTAAGTCAATTGACACATCTATTATACAATGAGAATACGTAAATTTTTTTTAGTTACAAAAAGTGCCCTTCCGTTTAGTTACGGTCAGTGTACAAGCTGGATAGGGCCATACCAGCGATGTAAAAATGCATATAAATCAGCAAACTGTATCATTGTATCAATGAAGTCATATATCAGCATTGAATGCATCGTCGTAATATCAATTTATCTTAGCCGTCCTTCCTCTACAATAGCGCGTATAGAATGCGTTAAAATTGTAAATTCAAACAAACGTTTTCGCACATTTTTGTGCATCTTCAGGTTTTAAAAATTCTAAACTATCTGTACAATTCGCGCGCACAGATAGTTTAGAATTTTTAAAACCTGAAGATGCACAAAAATGTGCGAAAACGTTTGTTTGAATTTACAATTTTAACGCATTCTATCCACTTACTATCCCAGGTTTTAAATAGTAAGTGGATACTATTTAAAACCTGGGAGTGGACACTATTTAAAAACCTTCCCTTCCACGATACAGTAGATCCAATGTATCGTGGAAGGGAAGATTGGATCTACTGATCACAACACAGTGATTTTTTCGGCAGCTCCAAGAGGGTGATCACAATCCTAATTGTTGTGATAAACCTATTAAATAGTTTCATATTGGTTATGTCGACGGGACCACACTCAAGGATCATAATCAACTGGACTACAACAAAGACGATCACCATCATCTGGATCACCAGTGCTTCGGACATCTTTGCGATACCAACAGACGCCAACGACAATGACAGGGAGAGGTGGACGCAACCAATCGGTTTCTGATTGTGATGTGACCTGGGAGAAGCTCCTGATTGACTGCTCCTACTGCCATGAGGTATGGACTGAAATACAAGTGCCAAAAGGCAAGAAGCCTAAAGTTAATAGAGGAGACTACATGTGCGGGTTCTGTGCCGTAGATAATGTTGCCAAACTGACATCAAAAGTGAATGATTTTAGCAAATTGTTGCAAACGGAAAGAGACGAACGTATTTTGCTAAAAGCTGAATTAGCAGAATGTGAAAAACGAGCTGCCGGCATTGAAACCAGTTTTCAAGACAGACTCTCTACATGTGAATCTTTGAATTAGGTTTTGGATAACAATGTGATAAAGAAGAACGACCAATTATGAACCGAAGTTGTTTCTCGAAAGAGCATGGTAAGCAAACTGGAAGAAGATGTGGAAAAGCTGAAAACCAAGCAGAGTGTACCTAAGCCAGATGATGTTGAAAAGCTAATTAAAATCAACGAACGACGGAAAAGAAGCGTGATTATTCGTAGGTTACATGAGAGTACTGGGTCAGATGAGGCAACAAAAGCCAAAGAGGATGTTGAGTTTATGAAGCCACTTATGCCTAGCAACCAGCCCTTTCGTGCTGCTAGGATTGGAGAGCCGAAGTCGGACGGACAACCGCGTCTTCTCGCACTTACTTTCCAGTACCCGGGCGCTGCCGAAGAAATACTCCGAAAACGATGGTTTACCTACAATGACCGAAAATACTACTACGACAGAGATCTCTCAAAATTTGATAGAGAACAAGCTTACAAAAGCAGAGTTACCAGGCGCGCATCCAATACGGCAAGCGAATAATAACACAGTTATTTCGACGAAGAACGATATGTCAATGTTGTTAGTTAATATTAGAAGCTTGTCAAATAACTGAAATGAGTTCTTACTTGAGGTAGTTAACAGAAAACCTGATATTATCTTTGTTACTGAGACCTGGGCTCACATTGGAATAAACAAAAGTGAGATTTTAATTCATAGTTACCATCCACCATTCATGCACCGCAGCAGCAACCGACGTGATATCAGAGGAGGTGGAGTGGCTATATATTGTGCCAGCTATATCAATGTAAGAGAGGACGATGCGCTTCTGGTTGAGAACTACGATGCGATCTGGTGCAGACTTCTTTATGCCAATCGAGAAGTTGTGCTCGGATGTCGCTATCATACTGAACCGACAGACGACGAAAACTTTGCTAACTGTCTGTACAAATTGTCTACTGGAAACATGGAGAAGATTGTAGCTGCGGATTTTAATCACCAAAGTATTGATTGGGAAGCTCTGTCATGCTCGGGGAGCATTGCAGATCAGCGGTTTTTGGATATGGTGCAAGATAACTTTTTGTCACAGCACGTTGTTGACCCAACAAGAGGGCAGCATGTGTTAGATTTGCTTATGTCGTCGGAGCCAGACCTCATCACGGAATGTATCGTGGAAGGGAATATTGGATCTACTGATCACAACACAGTGATTTTTTCGGCAGCAATCAAACAGCGTAACTTGAATGAGAGAAGTTTCAGCCGCAGAAATTTTTGGAAGATGGACGCGGGAAGCCTTCTTTCTGATTTGAAAGGATACGACTGGAATTCTCTCCTTATTGGGGATGCAGAACAGCAGTGGAACATGTTGATGGGCACTCTTAATGATCTTATCTCAAAGCATGTACCGTTTGTTGAACGAAGGAAGCGAAAGTACCCATGGATTGCAAAACAGGTTTTGCGGGCGTGTAAGGACAAGCGACGTTGCTGGAAGAATTTGCAGAGCAACAATTCTGTTGAAAATGAGTTGAAGTACATGCAGGCAAAACGAGCATCGGACCAATCTGTTGAATGGTCGAAGAAAGATTTTGAAAGGAAGCTGGCGAAAGGAATTAGAGAAGATAGTAAGTCTTTCTGGAGATACTTTTCCGCAAAGAAGAAATGTCCAACGAAGGTTGGCCCTTTGAAAGAGGGTGATCGTGTAATTGAGAAGTCTGAAGACTTGGCGGAGCATCTGAACAGTTACTTCCAATCTGTATTCACTCAGGAGCCAATAGGCCCTGTACCCTATGCTGAACGACGAACTAATTTTAAGATGCCAAATATATCGATCACTGTTGACATGGTCCTTGCTCAGCTGCTCAATTTGAGAGTTGATAAGGCAGCAGGTCCGGACGGGATCCCCCCATTGTTTCTCAAGCTAGCTGCACCAGGGTTAGCTGAACCACTGACTAAGATATTTCGAGAATCGCTGTCATCCGGAGTTGTGCCGACTGGATGGAAAGTTGCTAATGTATCTGCTTTGTTCAAGAAAGGCAAGAGAAGTGAAGCAGCAAACTACCGTCCCGTAAGTCTTACTTCAGTGATTTGTAAATGTTTTGAGCGCATTGTTCAGCAGAGCGTTATTGGACATCTGAAGGAGCATAACCTCATTAGCGACACTCAGCATGGATTTATGAAAGGACGAAGTTGCTTGCTTAGTCTTCTGGCATTTTTCGAAAATAAGGACGAATTGTTGGACAAGAGAATGGCAGTAGATGTATTATATCTGGATTTTGCAAAGGCTTTTGACAAAGTTCCACATAGACGGCTAGTTGAAAAAATGAGAGCTCACGGGTTATCGGAGGAAGTGATCAAGTGGGTGGAAGCATGGCTGAAAGACCGCAAGCAGAGGGTGGTAATTGATCAGTGTTACTCCAGCTGGGAAACTGTGTTCAGTGGAGTCCCGCAAGGTACCGTCCTTGGTCCCACTTTATTCCTGATTTTCATCAATGATAATGACGACAGCCTTGCCGATGATAGTAAATTAGTCGGACCGTCAAGGAATTTGGACGACAGAGCGAAGCTCCAACGTGATCTCGACCTAATGAAAGCGTAGGGGGCGTTGGTGCATGAAGTTCTCTTGCAGATCAGTCCTAGAAAGAGAAACGTCGACGGAAGGTACACATTGGGGCTTGCTGAAATCGAGAACGTTGATTCAGAAGTGGATTTGGGTGTTACTGTAAATTGCTACGGAAAAAGAGTTGATCAATGCTTGAAAGCAGCCAAGAAAGCCAATGCAGTTTTAGGCATGATCAAGAGGACCATTCAATGTCGTGACCAAGAAGTTTTAATCCCACTCTACAAGTCCTTAGTAAGACCACATCTAGAGTACTGCGGACCAGCATGGAGACCTCATTACAAGAAGGACATCAACACGATTGAGAAAGTTCAACAGAGATTTACGAGAATGGTGCCTGGGCTGCAAGAACTATCGTACGAGGAGCGGCTGAAAAAGTTGAAGCTAACAAGCATGTATGAAAGATTCTTGAGGAATGATCTGATTTTGGTATACAAGATACTGTTTGGACATATGGATGTAAATCCAGCGACATTCTTCAAACTGAGTCGTAACACGCATCTGAGAGGACATATTCTAAAACTGGAAGGACGCAAAGTGAACCTGGACAGAACCTCTCACTCGTTTGCAAACAGAGTTATAAACGCTTGGAATAGCCTGCCCGAGAATGTTGTACTTGCACCGACCATTGAGACATTCAAGGAGAGTTTGCACAAGCACCTCTGCCTTGAAAACCCCGGTATAATGGTTTCCTAACCGCTTCCGGGATGCCACACCACAATATGATGTCCACTATGACAGATCATTCAAGCCTGAGTGCGTGTGGCGCACCAGGTAATAAACCAGGTAATAAAGTGTCATACACATCATTATTTCAAAATTAAAAAAATTCAACCAATCAAAACTTTACAAATATTACTGAAATTATGTAACAACTATTATGTAACAATTTTGAACATTTTGTCACAAATTTCTGAGAGTTTTCACCTTTTTTGTTTTTACAATTTCGTTTTGTCGCTAATTTTCATGCTAACATGTAAGTTATTATAGAGTTGTCGAGAAAAAGAAATTTGCGCAACGATCTGCACCCCCTTATACATAGTAAAGAGCTCGAGGAGCGCGAAGCTTATTTTAGTTCTTTAAGTTTATTGCCGGTCTCTTTCCTAATGTGCAGCGCCTCTAATGTAAGTAGCTTGAAGAAATTTTTGCTAAAAAGTAAATTTCAAACGTTTTCGCAACTATGTGCATCGTCAGGATTTTTACAATAAACTACTCTAAATGACGATAAAACATCAATTTACAAATGTTATTTACAATAAATCACATACAATTTGGTTCTAAACCATCATGATAAAAAATTAGCCAATCACAGTTGACCTCTAAATTACTATAAAGATTAAAATACTTTTAACCTCTAAAATTAATTAAACATTTTTAAATTATTTTGTCTGGAAGTTTCTGAGTCATAATTTCGATTTAGACATGTACGTTTTGAATAAAAAACCAAAAATATTTTGGGACTAAATTTTCAGTGTTAACTCCCTGCTCCTAAACTCATCGCGCGTGTTCAAGCCAGGTTTCTCTTTCCTGATATGTATTGCCTCTAGTGTTAGCAATTTAAGATCTGCGCTATTTCCCTCAAGTTGGCATTGCTGAAGGTGGATGCCTACCGGTGAGTCTGCTTTCTTATGTTCCCCAATTCTAGTGGTCAAATGTCGAACAGTTTGTCCGACATAGGTGGAAGTGCATCCACTACATGACAGTTTATAAACCACTTTTGACTTGAGGTCATTAGAAAATGCTGACTTCAGTGATGGTAAACATGATTGCAGTTTTCTTGTTGTGAAAACCACTTGAACGTTAGTTAATTTTCGTAACCTGTTAGCAAAATATTGACTCTGGTTACCTCTATATTGCACCATCAGCATTGGGGGCTTCACATCCTTTGGTGATTGAACTGACAAACCCCTGTCACTATCCAGGGGCTTGCCCTTACCCTCGATGATCTTGCACAAGGCGTCTGAAGCCACCTTTGCGGACCAATTTTCAGGGTACTGATTTTTCAGCCATTGCGCCCTATTAGTTTCCATAGCCTTATCAAATTGCTCCCAGCTAGATGTACTCCTAACATTCCTGTGTACAGTGCCTTGGATAACACTACGCTTATACTGAGTTGGGGCGCAGCTTCTATAGTTCAGCATAGTCCCCCATCTGTTGGTTTTTGATACCAACTGCAAGTTACACTCCTACCCTGCGATACATTTATGTTCAAATCCAGGAACGGCAAATTCCCCTCCGAATTAGTTTTCTCTAGAGTGAACTGCAAATTTGGATGAAGAGAATTGGCGGCATCGAGAAGACAACTGGCTCTCATCTGAGTGTTCTAACAATGTCATCCACATACCTGAGGAACAATTTCACCTGGGGAGTATCCTTCTCCTTGTTCTTAGCTTGGCAGCAGCTTTCACAGTACCAGACTATCTCGGTTATTGATGCGTATACGTCATCGGATATTTTTCCGCATTTTAGATGATACCAGTTTCGGCAACTCTCGCATTCAACCCCCTTTGATCTTTATGTGACTTTCCTGCTGCAACATGGGCACAAGCCGTTTCTGTCACTAATTTGCTGTACCCCCGTTCCCACTGGTATTTGTTGTCGTAGAGCAAATTCGTATTCTTTCAGCCATAAGTTTGCCAGAATTACAGCGAGGGACGCGCCCATTGCTAAACCATCAACTTTTACATACCATGAATCATTACACTTAAAATATACTTTGCTGACCGCCATATTCAAAAGCCTTTTCATGGTTGCTCTATGAATTTCAGGAGGAGACTCCTGGCTGTACAGCTTCTGTAAAGCAATTTCAATTGCCTCCTTCAGGGGATCGTTGGTGTACAAACTATTCACATCAAGAGATATTATGGTTTCATCCGGATCTAGAGCAATGTTTTCTATTTTTTCTCTAGCGTCTTTAGTATTGGTTTCTATATTTGCTCCATCGATGTTGTCAAAAAACTTTGCAAGCATTTTGTTAAGATTCTCATACGAGCTGCCGGGAAGTGATAGTACAGGTCGTAGGGGTGTCTCATCCTTGTGTACCTTAGCTAAACCGTACAAACGGGCGGGTTGCCCCCCTGTTGATCTCATCTTAGAATATAAATGATCACTTATCTCGTCTCTTTTGTTCATGGCTAGTAATTCTTTGTTAAGTTCCTTCTCAATTTTCAGTATCACCTCATCAGTGGTTGCATCTTTTTTCACAAACTGAGCAGATTGCAACAAGGATTCCAGCTTTGATTCATATGTTTGTTTCTTCATTATGCAAAAACCAACCCCCTTATCAAAAGGCACAGCCAGCAACCCATTATCTTTGAGATATTTCCTCGTTTTTTCAACGGCTTTGTCTCTTGGGGTTTGCCGTACGTTTTTTGCATATGCCTTTGCCAAGGCTTCTATTTCACATAACGTTTCACCAGATGTTTTTTGATTTTTCAATTGTGAGAGGAAAATGTCTATATCCGCCAAAAAATGTGTTTCGTTTAATTTGTCTCTAATTGGATGCTTGGGGCCAATTGATAGCACTTCATATACCCATTCAGGCAGTTCAATATTATCAAGTACCTTAACTGATCGCTCATTTCTCCCCCCAAGAAGAGGTTTATCTTGTCTCTCGGACAGTTTTTCTAACTTTTTTCTATGGTTTTCTGATGTTGTCTTTAAGCTTGCCTCAACTTGACGCCTCACGAATGCCCACCACTGTTTGTCAATTTCTTTTTGCACCAGTGATCTTGCTTTCCTTAGCATCTCCTCGTACCTTTTCCTATCCTCATTTGCCCTAGAAGTTTCATTCCTTAGTAGTTTCAATTGAAAATTATGCACAGCTTGGTCCGAAAAAACCCCGTTCTCGGGGACCCTAAACTTCAAAAAGTCCGGTATTAGATCGTTTTTCAGACATTTTCTCAGAAACTTCAGTCTATGTACAGATACTTGAACTTTTTTAAAGAATTTTAAATAGTCTAACACAATTTTCCAAGTTAGTTTTCTTTTTAAAATTTTTCTGAGCCAAACAGCAGGCAAAAGTACTGTGGTCATTGTTTTGCAGGCCACGAGTAATGAAACTCACAAGGCACAAAGCAAAACAAATCACACTCTTCTCACCCCTGTCTTTGAAGCGCAGACACTTCCTCTGCCTTCAGCTTCTGCTCACGTCTTGCTTTCGCCTTCCTCCTTGTCTGTGAGTGTCTCTGTTGTTTGCCCCTGATATTGCCAATCAGCTCTGACAGCCTTTCTTTGTGTGCCACTACCAATCGCAGAGATTTCAGCTCCAAATCAGCACTCTGGTGCAGCTTCAATTATTCCTTGAGCTGCTCCGGTTCGTTTTGTAGCTGGAATAATGAGCACCCCTGTGCCGAGAAAGTGACAAAACAAGTCGGGCGTTCCTTCCCTTCTGCAATAAACGATCGCCAATATCTGCTGCTTCTTCGACTTCAAATAGTTTGTCAGCTCCTCGACACCGGCTGGGCGATAGTTGTTTGTTCTGTGGCTGCTAATGGTGTTGTTCACCACGTCGTGCCACACAACCACTTTTTTCTCCTTCAGTGGACTGTCTTCCAGTAGTCGTCGGAGGTTCTTTCCTTGGTTCAGCAAGTTGTTATTAAGGGATAGGCCAGGAATTGCTGTAACAAGGCTCTCGTATTGCTTTTTCTCACCTGTGTTAAGGGTGTTGATGCTGTGGAACAGGGAGCTAGCTGCTAAAATATAAAACATTTCGGTAACTCAAATAAAAATCGGCCATATTTTACGTATCGATAAAAAAAAACACTATAAAAATTCTCTATACATTGATGAAAATCATTTACAATTTTTATACTGGCCCTTTAATGGGAAACAGTTGGAATTTCAAGCTCTTCGCTTTTTGGTTTATCACCAATTTACAAGTAAAATTGAAGAAATTTTTGCTAAAAAGTAAATTTCAAACGTTTTCGCAACTATGTGCATCGTCAGGATTTTTACAATAAACTACTCTAAATGACGATAAAACATCAATTTACAAATATTATTTACAATAAATCACATACAATTTGGTTCTAAACCATCATGATAAAAAATTAGCCAATCACAGTTGACCTCTAAATTACTATAAAGATTAAAATACTTTTGACCTCTAAAATTAATTAAACATTTTTAAATTAATTTGTCTGGAAGTTTCTGAGTCATAATTTCGATTTAGACATGTACGTTTTGAATAAAAAACCAAAAATATTTTGGGACTAAACTTTCAGAAATAAATACTAAGTAACTTGATGCTGCTGGACGCCTGGTCGATTATTTTCCATTTAAACTCAGACTTACCACTCTCACTACCACACTGCCTTATATGCTGTCCAACTGGGGTATCCTCTTTTCGGTGTTCCTCAATCCTTGTGGTGAGATGTCGGACCGTCTGCCCAACATAGATGGATTTGCACCCACAACATTCAAGTCTGTACACCACTTTTGATTTCAGTTCACTGGAAAAGGAGGATTTTAGAGAGGGCATACAAGTTTTCAATTTCCTCGTCGTGAATATTATCAGCGCATTGGTGATATCGCGCACTTTTTTTGCTAATGTCTGACTGTGATTCCCCCTATATTGGACCATCAAGATGGGTGGCGAATCACTGCTATAATCACAGGGCTTCTTTTTCTCAGCCATGTTCTTTTTGTTTTTGCCCTCGCTGATGATCTTTTCAAGGGCATGGGATGCAACCCGC